TTCAGTGTTTCTTGGTTGCTCCGCAGTTTTCGTGCGTTCTTGCAAAAATTGCTTAGCAGTCAAACGGTTAAAAGAAAAAAATAAATGTTACTAACATAAACATATCAAAATCGTACTGATTGACCCTGTGTAACGGTATTGCAGTTGTTAATATTTATAAAATTTATTTCTTTTTCACCGATCAGCGCCGTGTTCGTTGACAGGGTGAACAGGGAAAAGGTCCTACCGCTGTAAGATAATAAAATGGTTGTATCCCTTTCGGGGTTTATACGTCTTCACCCGCTTTTGAATGACGGATTATAATACAGGCCATTACCATGCCAATACGCGAAAAACGTCTGCAACCAGCTACGGCGAAACCCGGAGTTTTTCGCAAATCGACCTTCCTTTTCCAAACGAATATCCTTAAAAAAAGAAAAATCCCTCCTTTTCACCCAAAGCATATTAAAAATGAAAAGAAAATTTTGTGCAAGTACAAAAAATTAGAAATATTAGGCTCACGTTCAAGAAACAAGTATTTTTTATTTTCAATAGAAAATTCAGTGTGCTATTAGGAATACCATGAGCAACCCTCATCAAACATATGTTTTCTCGTATTCTTTAGAATATGATTGGAAATAAAATTCTATTTTGTCGAAAGAATTGACATTCTTGCAATATGATATTATATGCAAACAAGTTGTAGCATATTTCGTGACAGTCGAACAGCCCCGTTACACCCCAAAGTAAATTTAAATGGCAAATATTTCGTCATATCAATTGTCTGACAAACGTGACACATGGAAGGAAAAGAGAAGGAGGGGGGTGAGCCATCCGAACAGCGATCAAGTCCGTCGGCCTTCAACCTCGGCGGTAGCACGAGGGCAGGTGATCGGTGCGGTAAGGGGACTACATACTTGTGTCTCTATATCCATACTGAAGGCCGTGTGCCCGAGTGAGATTGCCAATTTAATTCGCTATCCTTCGAAAAAAAGGACAGACTTATGCGGCCGGGTTTCGGGCCCTGACCAGATATTGGTTTCGCGTCGGCGTGGTCGGCTCGTGATGTGACACATGGAGGGAAAAGGAAAGGAAGAGACGAGGGATAGGTTTCCCTTCTTCGGGGCCGGCTAGGCTCGGCCACTGACTCGGGGCTCGAGGCTCCTAGACCGTTTTCTCTTACTTCTACGAGTCAAAAAAGGCCTCGAGCTTCCACTACTACTCTCAAACTCCGGTCTCGGGCCTTCCATCCCCCGCTGTGAGGGTCTCGATATCGGTTTCCCGGTAAGCGGATTATTGTCAATGTTTTGACGCCGACGAAGGAGACTCTCTTTCTACTCCGGGCAACGGCCTCCTCCCTTTCGGGGCGACACTCTCCCTTGCTGTCTGTCGGGTCTTATGTCTCCCGACGGAGTTCTCGCTTGGACTTGTTCACCCGCGGGTCTTTTCGCCCCTTCGTTTCGCGGCTCGCAAGGTGGATTGTCATTTGGCGTCAGCCTCAATCAAATAATTGACAGAGGGAAAGGAGCAACGATTCCTCAACGAGAACTGTCGTCCCGAATAAACTATGTCATCTACTTGTAACGTTAATCTTTTGTTGTCCATGCTTTATTAAGACATGCAAATTTATGAACAACGTAGAAACTGAATGATAATGAAATTTCAAAGTGGTTTAAAATAAGACAAACTGGAGACATTGACATTCTAGCAAAATGATTTAAAATGAAATTTTTCGTAAATAACATAAACTGAAATAAGGACGGCAAATAGGGGGAACATGATTGGAAATAAAATTCTATGCTGCGGAAGGAATTGATATTCTTGCAAAATAATATTATATGGAAACAAGTTGCCGTATATTTCGCGACGGTCAAACAGTCCCGTTACTCCCCAAAGTAAATTGAAGTGGCAAATATTTCGTGATATTAATCTTCTGACAAACGTGACACATGGAAGGAAACGGGAAGGAGGAAACGAGGAATAGGTTTCCCTTCTTCGGGGCCCGCTAAGCGCGGTCACTGACTCGGGGCTCGAGGGTCCTAGACAGTTCTCTCTTACTCCTACGGATCGCATAGCTCCGGGCTTCCACTACCACTCTCGAAACTCCGGTCTCGGGACTTTCACCCCCTTGTTGTGAGGATCTCGATATCGGGCTCCCGATAATCGGATTAGCATCAATGTTTACACGCCGACGAGGAAAACTTTCTACTCCGGGCTGCGGTGTCGTCCCTTCCGTAGCGGCGTTCTCCCTTGCTCCCTCGCAGATCTTATGCCTCCCGAGGATGTTCTCGCTTGCAGTCGTTCACCCTCGAACCTTATCGCCCTTTCCTTCCGCGGCTCGCAAGGTGAATTGTCATTTTGCAGCGACCGCGGTCATGTGACTGACAGAGGGAATGGAGGATCAATTCCTCCACGAGAACTGTCGTCTCGAATAAACTGTGCAATCTACTCGTAACGTCAACACCCTTCGTTATCCATGCCTTTTTCGGACACGTAATTTTATGACTCGTATTTGTATTTAAAATGTAAGTAAACAATTTAATTTCATCAGTTTTTGCGAAAGTAGCTATTTCGAGTTATGCGTGTTGTTTAACTTTTGTGAGAGTTGATTCAGTTGATAGAAGAAGTATCATTCTGATTGATTCTTTTCTAATATTCTCATTTTTCTGGAAGAATTTAATTTCGAATGGAAATAGATTTAAAATCTAATTAAAATTGGAAATCCAAATTAGTTTATTGTTCTTCTTCCAAATACGAAATAGTAAATGGTATTTTATGTTTTGGATGCACATTTCGAATGAATTCGATTCATAAAAGTTACTCAGATTTGCGTTTATAAAGAACTCGCATAAGAAAAGTCTTTCTTATGTTTACACTCGTAAATTTTGGTTATGTACATGCTCATTTAATGATTTACAGTTGTTCATTTCTTCGAGGAATAGGAAGAATGGTGTAGAACGTAAATGTATAAGAGACATGAAATCATGATTCCGCTTCGATGTCCGAATATGAATGCATTGGAAATTTTCCTGCGGCATTTCACAGTATAAATATAATAAACTGTTTTTTTGAGCTATGATTATATTCTAACTTCGTTTTAGTGGATGGAACAATTGAATCGCTTAGAAACTTGTAAACTTTTAATAAAACATGTTTTATTATATTCTTTAAGAAATTCTGTAATTAATAATTTAACAAAAATTCCGTTAAGTGGGTCAGGGACACTGTTACGTCGGGCGAATCGCCCCGTAACGCTGACACCCCTTCTTTTATATATATACATACATGTAATTCTCACATCCTCCTGAAATAAAGAAAATCTGCCTACGCGACGTAGGTGACGTAGGCAGAAACCAGCGTCAGAATTTTCCAGAAGGCCCGGGGCAACACCAGCGTGTTGCTAAGGGCGATAAGGCCCAAATGTAAGAGCGAAGAGGACGTGGGAAAAGTCGACCGCCACAAAAAATCCAGCGGCGCCCATCCCTTGGACTCTCCCCTAAGCTCACCAGATCCAGCCAGTTGCCCATCTTCCCGGTTCCTAAATTTGAGAACCGTATGGAAGATCGGTAGCCACGCTTCTGAACCAATATATGAGGTCCTTCGGGCCGGGCGCACAGAGAGTGAAAAATCGGGAGTGTAAGTCAGCTACAGAGCCTAGTTTGTCTAACGAAGTTTCTAACGCGATCCTAGCCATCTCTCCCTCTCTCCCTCTCTCCCTCTCTCCCTCTCTCCCTCTCTCCCTCTCCCTCTCCCTCCCTCTCCCTCCCTCTCCCTCCCTCTAATCCTCTTTAATGTAAGCGCGGTAATGTAATCCTGTTTCAAATTTCAATAAATTAGTTTAGCTTTGTTTTTATTTAAAGATCTTTTCTTGTGCAGCTAGCTCCCATATTCGAATTCCTCGCGATTCCGACTCCCTATCCCCGATAGTCAGAGCGAGTAGGCATTGCCTTCCCACCCCCCGGATTACCAACAAGTCGACATTCCTGGGGCAGTCGCAGTTGTCTTGCTTCGCCCTGGTACTCGACCCGAATACTCCGATGATCTGAGTGAGTCAGGCTAGGTTTTGCCACCCTTCAGATCATCAAATCGCCGATCCCCGTGAAAATCGTCCAACCGGTTCCTTCCCTGATCTCTTACAACCTATTTTTAAAGACTAGCTTTCCTTCCTCCCTCCGTACCATGTTAACGGAAAATAATTTCCTTAGATGATAAAGCGGTCCGGAAGACGGGTCAAACTTAGGGCCCTATTCGCCGCTTTAGAGGGCAGACCTACAATCCTCAGAAAACACGGGCCCCACAGGAGGGCCCAAAAGAGAAAAGCTCGGGAGCAAGCCGCTCGGGCTATTGAGCTCCCAAGAACAGAAAGCGTCCCCGTCCCACCTCCTGCTACGGAGTCTCACCAGGAATTTTCCTCCCAACGAGCTCCCGGCCACATCGGCACCGCGACCGGGACCCTCCCAGAGGCTCGCCCAGCCGACCTCCCGACGAAATCGGAGCAGCGGCCGGGACACCCAGGCGTCCCCTCAGAAGCATCCCCGACAACTCGCGAATAAAAATAGGAAATAAATAAATTTTAGTAAAGGAATTTCATTCCAACTGCGTACATTCATTCAATAAAATCTCGAACTCCCTTCCCATCCGGACGTAACAACACTCCACAATAATATTTAAATAATTGTCATTAATTGTTTTTGTTTATAAACATTTATTTTCTATAGAAAATCCATTCTGCCCCTCGGGCGATTCAAATTCCACGCTGCTCTCTCCACTAGTACGCTGCGCGGCCGGAGTGGGCAGTAGGTCCGGGAGGAAACCATCGACGAATGCCATTGTACCGACAGCGATAACATTTTTCGCCGAGCATTACTTCATATCGTGGGGTTATGTTTATTAATGTATTTGTACATGTCTTGTTTGGGTAATCATTAAACTATACACGATGTTTCGATTAAATAAAGTAAATATCTTTTCTGTTATTCACTCTTACTTTATTATTTAATGAAAGATTATAATTAATGTAGAGAAACTCATGAACATTCTCGAGTTACTTTGTGAGGAAGTACCTAACACCATCTCCGAGCAAACCTGCGCTGTATTGAACAAATTCTACGCCAGAAAGTTCAACAAATTGAAGATTTTGAAGATATTCGCTGAGTTGCAGGCTCCGGTGTCGGCAGGAACAATGTTTACTACATATAAATCCAATTCCAAGAAAACTTGGCAGACAAGTAAGATTTTGGATAAAATCAGGAAGTACATCACGCAACAGAGGGTAATATTATTAATGTTTTATTCATGTTGAATTGAAATTCGCTAGGAATAATATGATTTAAATAAGTGTTACGTGGCAGCTGAGTGGCTAGTGAAGAATTTTGCAGATTCCTCCGAGCAGATTAGTGATTATAGGAGAATCAAGAAACCGCAGTGTCAAATGATGAGCGAAGCGCGCCTTATGCATTTGACCCTAAGATAGACGGTACCAAGTACTTAACGCCGAGGATCCAAATTTCAGGAGTGGGGGAAATTGAAATCTACTCTTTCTATTGCTATGAGAAAAAAAGAAAAATGAATGTGATAAACTCAAAAAATCAATTAAAAATCACCTTTTTTTCTTTACTTTCCCCGACTCCGGTCGGTTGTTTGTACGCGAAGATATAGTTTCAATTTTTACATATGCTCAGAATGGTTGTAGTTTATCTTCGTCGTCATAGACTCTTAAGATGATGTGAAAGAGGCGTTAAAGAGTTCGTTCATGAAACATTTCTCCAAACCGAGTGTACTGAATCAATTTAAACTTTACAATATAAATACGGAGGGTATAAAGAAGGTCCTGAAATTACGAAATTTCAATTTTTTTTTAAATTTGTTCCTAGGTATTTTTTACTTTTGTTGTTAAAAATAGAATCTCAAGAGTGTCTGGACCTTCCTTGTAGCCGTCACATTCATTTTGTAAAGTGTGAAACGTTCAGGACACCCAGTTCGGAGAAAAGTTTCATTAACAATTCACTCTTCAGATACCACTTTCACTTTCCCTTAAATCGAAGAGTATATAAATTTCGCACTCGTTGATAGGAGGACTTCCGTATAGTTTTTGGACAGCCGACATTCAACATCGCCTCTCGTGGAACGAACACGAACTATAGTCATCCCAACTCTAAAATGATTGTAAAAAAAAGAAGGGTTTCTTGAAGTTTTTGTAATCGTTGAAGCCACATCTGACAATTGAATTCCGAAATTAAAAATGGCGAATCCAATATGACGGACAAAAAATTAAAAAGTGATTTGATTATTTTATAAGACAAGTGGATTTCTCTAAATTCTTGCAATCGCTGAGTTTAAATATGACAACAGAATTTCAACATTCAAAATGGCGGATCGAATACAGCAAATAATATAATTTCAAAATGATTGGATTATTATTTTAAAAACGAATGGTTTAACATAGTTTTTATAACCGCTTAATCCACATCTAGTAACAGAATTTTAAAATTCAAAATGGCGGATCAAAATGGTGGATCCTCTAGGATGAAATTTTTCCCTTTGGGGGATCTTGGCTCACCTGGGACAAGTCCAGGTGATCATCGGGCAAGCCCTGGGTACTCCGGCAGAAAAATGGTTGGGTTCCTGGCTCGAAGGTCGTTGCTCCTGAGCGCCGGTTAGTTTGTGTATTCCCAGTCCTTTGCTCCCCGTCCTTGCGCCGTAACTTGGCCGCGAAGTGACCTCCCGAAACACGGAATCCATGCTTTGCCTCGTCGGTGACAGCCAGGGTCATTCTTAGAGCTCTTGCCTTCTGGTCCGGCTTCTGGCCGGGTAGTTTTGGAGGTCCTGCGGGTGGCCGTACCTGAGTCATCGGACCCGTATACGGCCCGCGCCCGCAAACAAGGCCACTAGAATGGTTAACAGGGCCGATAGGCAACCCTTCGGGTGAGCACGACAGGCTGGCTGTGGTCGATGCTTCTGTACCTGACATCTTCTTAGACCGTGGCTTCCTCGACGGTTTCGCTCTTCATGCCAGAGTGACGAGAGGTAGCGAGCGCGCGACCACCGTACAGTCGCCGCTGTTGATACGCGGACTCTACGGCTGGAGTTTCGCAAAATCTAACAGAATTTCAGGAGTTCTGGAACATTCGATCGAATATACTTAAAAATATTTTGGCTAATGTCCGAGAACGCGCCCTAAAATATTGAACAATGAAGGATGATTGACAGAAAACAGAGATAAATTTTAGGTAATATAGAGAAATTTTATTGAATCAAAAGGCGTACAAAATTACATAATTAATTGTCATTTTTCTGTTAAGATCAGCTTCCCAATTCGCTGAGTCCCTCATGCAGGAAATCATTTCTGTAATAACTTCCCTGGCCTCCAAAAGGCAACGACGTGGGGTGGACTCCCACGCGTCCAAGAGCCATCCGTAAACCTCCTTGTGGTGGAGGCCGGATGCGGGCCCCTATGGGTCCATAACGAAACGGCAAATGGCTACTGGGGAACCATGAGAGATGCTCGCTCTACGGAGTTTGATTACACTCTCGTTCCCCCTAGAGTTACCGGCGACAGGTTGCCCTCATCATGGGAACACTTCTCGGCCGGACGGCCGGGGTGCGTCGGGTAACCCGTCCCGTGTCTCGGATTTCCGGGTGCGGGTTGGGGGCCGACACCATCGGCCGTAATAAGAAGGCCGGCGAGCTAGTATGGGCCGATAGATGGGATAACCGATCCGAATATTCGCTGGGTTACCTTGGCCGATGGATCGGGTTCCCATCCGACCTAGCCTGGAAAGCTCGCCTGGAGCATTACGTCTCAGCTGGCGCCTTGCACGAATGCTCGCACCACGCGGGTGCAGGGGAGGGACCTCCACGAGGTTCCCCGAGGGCAACGGGCGGGGTCAAGCGGCCTCCCTTCGGGGAGTGCGTCGCGGAGGCCCCGGCCTGGCTAGCGCCTCCCCAGGATTTGTCGATCGGTCCGGAACATTCAGGTTTTTTCAAGCTTGTCATGGGCCTCCAGGCCCCCTTGGTAGTGGGGGTGCTGGAAGCAGATGGATGTTAATAACCCCCCAGAAATTGGGGGGGGGGGGGTCCATCGGACCTAGGTACAGCAGACAAAAGCCCATAGTAATACAATGTAATAACCTCCCTAGGTTAAAACGGAATTGTCCACCCTTAGCACGTGCACATCGGGTATTACCGACGTCCAACCGGTAAACATCCAATCTATTTGTTCCGCATAGGACCCCTTGTTAATAGCTATAATTTTCGGACGATACAATAGCTATTGCGTTCAGTTTAGGCAGGACGAAGACGGTCGTCCGAGCGTCAAGCCCAGATTATTGTTTTATGACCCCCCGGACTGCACGGGTCTTATCGCGCTTCCGCCCCGGCTGTATTTGCATGGATTTCCCTTCTTGGGCCTTTTCCGTGACCAATTGTCGAGCGGTTCTTACGGAGGGGCGACCAATCATAGATTCCTTCCTCATTCCTCCCACCAAAACGCTCATAAAAATTCGGCAATAGGGCTGGAAGAGGAAGGAGGCAGTCGTTTTTCAACAACGAACATAGATCAATGCTAGAAACATTTTGAGCATAACATCTTCTCTTCCTTCAGGTTGGTGACCGCCGGGCCCCAGATCATTTAAAATTCAAAAATAGGCTAAATAGAAAATATTGGGAGAGTCGTGACATGGCCAAAAATGTACCACGTCAAAACACATTCAAATTTACTGAAAAATTTAATATTTTATACAATGTCCAACCACTGATGCGCTTTTAAAATTCCTTCATTACGGTGTACATTGGTTCAACCACGTTATAAATATGACAGTCCTGTATATTCGTAGTTAACTGCATTATGGTATTTTCTGTGGACAAATTCTTCCCCGTCAATGTGATCTCTCTTAAAGATTTCGTGAAAGCAAGCGTTAAACTTCAACTGGTTGTAAGTACGAAGAACATCGCGTAGACGTTTAATTACTGGCACCCGTGCTTCCTTCCAAAAATATCTGGAGTTAATATATGTTTTTTTTAGACACAATTCCCGTAGATATTCTGGTGATAAACGCAGATTGCATCTCCTCCCTTTTCAAGTGGTTATCTCATTCGATTGTCTTGGTATGATCCGACCCCATCTTTTCACCACCACCGTCCTCCTCATCGTCACCCTTCTCCAGAATGATAATTTTTTGTCTTCAACAAACTGATTTTCGTAGTAAGATGTGTTTCCTCTTTCCGACCGATGTACCCTTGCATAATAAATATTTTGTCAGTTCATCGATGAGTCGATCGCATTCGTGTAAACAGTCTTTGCGATCTTTTTCAAATCGTACATTGGTTAATAATCTTTCCTTCAATAATTGCCAATCGTCCATGTCGAAGTAAACGAGTGAGTCCTAATCAGACACAGACCCTGTGGACATGGCAAAAAGATGGGGGCGGTATGGTCGGTCCGCGATGGTAGACACGGGTTTCTGGTCTACATCATTTTTTGGACACGTGATCATCTGTCAGTTGTACCGGTTTATAAATAATTTAAGAATACGGGGCTCACCTAAACTCTAGTAAAAATCACTTTCCTTGGTTTCAAAATGTGCTCGAAACATTTAAACAAACGAAAAAACTGACCGCTTGTCTCTAAAAATAGGGTTATTGACCCCTGAAGTTGTGAATATACTAAATGAAATGCATGCATGGTAATATGTGGCGGCACGGCGACTAACATCTTCATCATCCTCTAAATTCAGGATTGATATATCCACCGGAACGTTTCCATCGCCTTAATATATTTCTTGTACTTCATCACTGCTCGCACCACGCGGGTACAGGGGAGGGACCTCCTCGAGGTTGCTCCAACGGGTGGGGTCAAGTGGCCTCCCTTCGGGGAGTGCGTCGCGGAGGCCCCGACCCGGCAAGCGCCTCCCCGGGGTTTGAATGATCGGTCCGGAGCATTCGGGTTTTTCCAGCCCGTCCTGGGCCTTCGGGCCCCTTTGGCGGTGGGGTACGGAGTGCAACCCCCCAGCAATGGGGGGTCGATAAGGAGGATCACCCTCCAGGTGCGGTCGGCCGCAAGGCCGATACGAAGTCATGTACTTCATCACTATCTAGACAGGCACGTCTGATGTGTGGGTCCGAGTCCCCTCCCCCTCAAACGCTCCCTCACGACAAGCTAAGCTATCCCCGATTGCAGCACTGGATGAATGTTTCACGCTGGAGATACACGATCTGCGCTTTATAAATACTCTAGACCGAACCTGGAAACATATATATTTCTGTCATGAACTGTGTATGATATGAAAGACTGCTACACCTTAGTAAAATTTGTAGATAAATCATATGTCCAAAAGATTATCTGGACCAAAAACCGGTGTCCAATGTTGCCAGCTCACTGCTTCGCCGCCATTTTTACGCCGTGCCCGATAGTGCCAGTGTCTAAGCGGCACGTGCCCAATTAGGAACCTCCGAAGCAAATTGCTTACAGAATGCAAACATAGCGAGAATGATAAACAGTAATCGCAATCGCTTGTAGCGACAACACTGTAATGACTCGTGGGGCAGGTCCTTTCCCGTGCGTGTGCATCAGAGATAAAAGTTCACTGCTCTGTTCTGACGTTGTTTCCCTAAACCTCGCGACCTTGCAATATCTCTCAGCAGCAGGTGCCATTGGTTGCCCTCCTTTAATCGCGAGAAAAAAAAAAAGAATCTTGTCTGCCTTGCTGTGCATTTAAAACTAATCGATGTCACACGAGCAACCTCGGATGTCATTAGTCGTTCATTCCAAATCTCGCGGCATGTGTACGATATTATCTCAATTATTCGGGGAAAAGAACGCATGCGTGCACTAATAGCAATTATAGTCTGCTTCGCATGTCCGCGACAAAATTGTAATGAACACAACAATCTTGGACACAAACACTGGAAATCTATCTTACATATCTGCATTATCGACGGAGCAGTCGTGAGCCAAGAGTCTCATGTGCATGTATTCCACAAAAAACCGAGTGAGTTAATACTACCTTATATCACCTACTGTAGACCGTCAAACGACTGGTGAAAAAAGCAGAATTTGATAGCAAAGACTTGTCCATAGCGCTATAAGAATATAGAAACACTCCTATCTCAGACGATAGAGGATCGCCAAATAAATTTATGTTCGGTAGAACTGTTGATGGATACTTACCAACGTTCGATATGAGCTACAATGCCTCGAATGCAAATACTTATAGGCGATTAGAAATAGATTACAAAAAAACAAGCCTCATGAAAAATGTATTTTGATAAATGAGTTAAAATTCTTCCAGAAATTGTAGTTAGAGATCGAGTAAGAATATAAAATGAACAAAATGGAGTATTCGATAAACAAGGAATAATTGTCAGTTGACCTGATCCGCCTAGAATCTTATGATATCCTAACGGACATTGGTCTTAATCGTAATAGAAAGGATATACGCGGTTCGAATCACGGCAAATTTAACATTAATAAACAGGAAATTGATGACGATATTTCTTACAACGAAGATAACGCGAGAAGCGATTCAGAGACTTTAACAAACACACGAATTTTCCACCAAAATAAAAAAGCAACAGGGTTTAGAGATAGTCAAAAAGAGGTTAGAAACTCTGAGCTTAGAAGGAGCAATGAGCAAATCAAAAACCTAAGTTACTTAAAATATTATATTTGAATAATCTTATTTCGCTAAAACGAAAGATGTAGTAGTTAACTTTTATACTTTAACTTATAATTATATAACTAACTTATTATTTATAGTCAATTGTTTTTTGAGTTATCTTGCACCCCAGTTTGATAAATGTAGTTGCGAGAAAAACGCGTTTAATAGTGGACTTTGTGTCATTTTAATCATTTATTATTGATTTATCTACATTTTATATTTTATTTAAAAATTCCATCATGTAACAAAACGTTGATTTTTCGATAGCATGCATTTTATAACAGAGGAATTCTGACGTACGTTGTTCAGATATCTTTACATTTATGAAGACAGCAGCTATGTCCGTCGTAAATAATAATCTGATGTCTCTCTCTAAATGGGTTGTAACTTAATTTTATATCGTTATTTCGACTTTGAATTTTTTGTGAATACTTTAGAGATGGACTTTTAACTTATGAAAAAATTGTTTAATTTTACACGAAAATTTCCTCTTAATAACAATGAAACCAAATCTTTTTGGCTTCCTTGATGAACTTAAGGGGGAACGCCACTGTGAAAGTTCGAAAAAACATTTTTTTTTGCATTTTCTTAAAGTATATATATTCAAAAATATGCAGTTAAAATTTTTAATTAAAATTCGGAAAATTGTCTGAGTTACAGACACATTAGTGAGAGCAGGCAGCGAGGCTGTTTGTGACTCAGTCGCTTGCTAACGGCTGCCCATTTCTAATAGGTCAGCCTTTTGGCTTTAATACTATGTGAGATTTCCTTTCTTACGGGTTTCCGATTTTTCCCTACTCAAAAATATTCCGTATATCGAATGGACGATCTGAATGTTTGGTAGCTATTCGTCGTCTTTCGAGTCGCTTACTGTACGTACCTCGAAAAATGGATCGTAAAGGTAGTAGAAGCTTAGATCAAAAGTTACTTTACATTGGAAAAAAATGAAACGTCCTCGTAATAGATATGAAATAGAAGAAAGTGAAAACCTGAAACGGCGTGCGAGTGCCTCCAAACGAAAAATTTCGAAAGACATTGACTGTGACGTGAATTTAACAGTAAATTATAGAATTATACATTTTTTTCTGTTTTTACTGTGCTTGGTAATTATATATCTTGTAAAAAGTGTGGTAGTAACATAAATTTTACTGAACGCAGTATTCGAGGATTAGGTTTTAAATTTGTGGGGAATTGTGAAAAATGTGATCCTGTGTCGACTGATTCATGCCCCCTTATAGACAATGCATATGAAATCAATCGACGTTTCATATTAGCTATGAAACTCATTGGTATGGGATTATGTTCTGCTGAAAAATGTTGTGCCTTCGTGGATTCACCACGTCCAATCTTTCATACTTTTTATGATCGTGTAGTGAAACAGATCAAGAATGCAGCGAAAACTGTGTGTGATATTGTTTTGATCAAGGCTGTAAAAGAAGAACTGGAAGAAACTTCGAAAATATTGGACTCAAATGATGTTCCTGGAATCACAGTGTCTGGGGATGGGAGCTGGAAAAAGAGAGGATTTAAATCTTTATTTGGCATTTCATCTAATTGGTTTTCATACTCGCAAAATTGTGGACGTCATTATGAAGTGTATCTTTTGTAAATCCTGTGCACAAATGAATTCCAAGAAAGATACAATTGAGTACGATGAATGGCTGGAGACTCATTCCGATGAATGTGTAATTAACCATACCGAATCGTCAGGTAAAATGGAAGTCAATGGGACAAAAGAAATGTTTCTAAGATCGGAATCCCTGCACAACATAAAATATTTAAATTACATTGGTGATGGCGATACTAAAACATATAAAAGTATTTGCGATGCAAAGCTCTATGGAGATGAACCTATTATAAAAAAAGAATGCATCAACCAAGTGCAAAAAAGAATGGGAAGTCGACTTAGAAATCTCAAGAAAAAAAAATAAAGGTTTGGGGGGGAAGGGTCGATTAACCGATAAAGTAATTAATGAGCTGACCAATTATTATGGCTTAGCAATACGACGTCACTCCGACAATGTTGATGACATGTATAATGGGATTTGGCAAACTTTATACTATAAAACGTCATCACCAGAACATCCACGACATTTTCTCTGCCTTGAAGGTGCTGACTCTTGGTGCGATTTTCAACAAGCTGTATCAACTAATAGCTTGGAATCATTTGTTGATAAACCGCCACTTCCGGAAGATGCTGCTGTCAAATTATTTCCAATATACGAGGATTATTCGGATCCTAAATTATTGGAAAGGTGTATTGGCGGTTTCACCCAAAATAATAATGAATGTTTCAATTCAGTAGTGTGGCAAATAGCACCGAAATCAAATTCAAGTGGTTCTATTATTGTTGAAACAGCCTTGTATATTTCAACAATAGCATTCAATGAAGGTGCACAGGTGATACTCCAAATTGTGGAGTTATTAGGTATAAAAGTTGGACCGACACTCCACTCGTACTGCGTTAAACGAGACATGAAGCGAATGGAAACTGCTGACAACCGCATGAATATTATCCATAAAAAAGCAAAAAACGACAATAACGACATTGGAAATGACGAGGAAGGTCCATCATATGGCCCAGGACTTGACAGCTTAAGGTAAGTATCAATATTTTAAGCAAAACATTACTAGACACCAAGAAAGACGCAATGAAAACTTTAAATGCGTTTTTATCGAAACGATTTATTTCAAACTTGTCCCAGCGATTTCTCGAAAACTAATAAGGCGATTTTCAATTTTTTTTTAATCTTTGTTATCACAGTGGCTAAGTTTGCACGTAGCCGATTTTTGAAATTTTAATAATTACTATTTTTCCGAGCTGCTTGAATACAAAGAAAAGGGTCAAAATAATGAAAAAAAATTTCAATCCGTCGGAATTTTGCGAGAAATTAAAAAAAAAAACGGCTACGTAGCACCATAGCTACATTCGTATACATATTAAAAAATTTCTTTTTTTTTCAGGTAATCCTACACTACGAAACCCCTGGGACAACGGAGGGGGGATTTTTTTCCTATGGTTAAGTTTAGGTCTATATCATTGTCAATTTTTAAAATTTTTGAATAAGAATTTATATTAAACAAGTTAAATGTATACTTAATGAAATAACAACAACCCCCCATTCCTTTAATAATTAATTAAGCCTTTCAAAAAAATTCGTGAAAATCGGTTATTTTTCTGGCCGTCACAGTGGCGTTCCCCCTTAATATTTCCAAAAAGAAGAAAATCTCATTAATTTTGAAAAATGAATTTTTCTAGCGTATTTCAAAGGAAATATAACATTACTGTTTTATTTCATTGTCCTTCAGGTGGTAATCTCAAAGAAACAGTACATTCTGAAGAAAGGTCTGGGAGTGGGACTACGTCTTTCAAAAATATTAGCTGACATATATTATGAATATATGGTACACCATACCATGAAGGATTTTATTAAACATGGAGAATTATACAGATATGCAGATGACATATTATTTTTAACGGAGGATAAAGAAACCGCCGAAAGGTAAATTAACTGTAGCAAAGACGGCTTCAGTATATCAAAGTATAAATAATTTTCACGGCATACAATTTTTCAAAAATTGCAGCTTTATCTCCTAAATGTAATGCTCCATAATGTAAAGTACATGATATTTCAATTTTTATAGGTTAAAGATAATTCTAAATAAATGTCTAAGACCTATAAGCTTCTTTAAAGGAAATATAAAAAGAAATTGAAATCCACCTTCAATTGAACTTTTTACTAGACAGTTAAATATAATTATAATATAATTAAAATAAAAAAAGATTGAATAAAATGTTGAATCATCTACAAAAGTTTAAAATGTTGCTTTCCATTTTACGTAATTTGTCGTCGCAGAAAGATTTTATGTTCAGAGAATGAAATTTTTAGCTATCTAAGTTTTAATTATTTATCTTGTAACAGCAGAAATTAAGTTTATAAAATGTGATTTAGGTTCCTCAAGACTGTAAAAAAAGGAATCCGGGAATATAATTGTAATTTCAAGATGTCCAAAACGCAAACAAATTTAGATCATACAAGTTTGAAGAACATTGAATACCTAGGTTGCTGTATTAATGGAGAGACTCTTGATATAGTGCCACAGTACCATAATCTCAAGTCCCGATACATGACAGTGCAGTCCAGATATCCAAAAAAGGATGTTCTTACGTATGTGTTAATTAACGTAAACCTATTTATTTCCTATGTAAAATGAAAAATATGTAACATTATTTTCATTTCGTCAGTGAAATTTCTTCATTATTTTTCAGGACGTTTAATCGCAGAATAAGTAACTTGTGTCCTCTTAAATTAAATACGACAATGCTGGATGTAACTATTAACTCGAAGGACACTGTGCAATTCACTATAAACCAAGCAAGTCGATTGCAAGCTTCAAGATGTCTTGCACTCCTTTTACGTTTTGTCGGCCAAGATCCAACCAGTGATCGTGTTTGGGCCATTTTTAAAATAATTAAAAAAACTAACAAGACTATTGTGGCTACAGTTAGTCGCATGTATCTCCCAAGTAAGTATCACCATAAACCTTTCCAATATAATTTACTGTTCCTAAATTAATATTCATAAGGAATGTTTGTCGGATCTCTCTCTCCCTATCTCTCCCTCCTTCTCTCCCTCCCTCCTCCCCCCACTCTCTTCCAGCTTTTTGCAGGATTCAGCAGTCCAGTGGCCGTTTCGATCTCGCTTACTCTCCCTCTGATTAACTCTCCTTTCCATCTTCCCCTTCACTCCTTTCTTTCAAAGAAGACGCGAAACTCGGTGCAGATGATTACCTCTACGCGTTTCTGAATCATGAAAGCGAAGCTCCTCTTTGGCCTCCACTGAACAAGAGTCACCCTCTTTATGCAGAAAGATGCTATTGTCGTTAGCTTTAAAAATGTTTTTGAGTGGCAAAGAACTACAAGACTACATCACATGTTGAAGTCTGTTACACTCTACGTTGAGAATTATACGAAATGAAGTGTTCCATATGTCATTTCAGTAGAATAATGGTAAAGAGATCGATGTGAAACTGTCGAAATCCTGTGGATTCATAATTTTGTATTCTCTAATGAATCAACGGCGCCAGCTCTAACGTTTAGCTGCAACTTAATTGTTGCTCTATAAATTGGGCGATTCTACGTTCGCAACTGCGATCCGCAAGATCGGCCTCCTGTCGACAAACCTGTGTCCTTTTTAGTCGAAATGCGAATCGGGTAGCGAACTTGATTCCCCGATCCCAATATGCGCCAGCCAGGTTTTACCGCCCGACTCGGTATTTTCCTGACTTTCGCTCGTCCGTTCGATTAGCTACCGCCAGGTCAGAGAAAAGGTGACTTCTGACCGCGGAGAAGCTGGAAAAAGAGCAAACTACATAAAGAAAGTGCGCCGAACAAAAATAACCTTTGCTTTAAGAAAAACAAGGAAATCCGAATTACAGGAGCGAAACCTTCGCTCTCCCGCGCAGTAATCCCTCGCTTGGGAACCCTCAGGTCCCACCTCCACGAGGCGGCACGAATACGAAGACGCGAAAGCCCCAACGGTCTAAAGGGACCCCGCAAAACCGCAACTTATTATCCTCTGGTCCTCGCTATTTCTCTCTTTCGCGCAGCCTCCTTCAGGCGCTTGGTCTCAGCCATTTCCGCCTGGTGAACGCCTAGGAGTTAACCTCACTGTTGTCCTCGCAGGCCTCAGGTCCACCCATGCGCAGCACTTCACTAGTCTTCGATCGCGAACCGGTACTTTTCGCGAGGCCTGAGTGGTCCTTATCCAAAAGGTTTTTATCAAACGCTCCCACGATGCCACTGGTGCTCCGGGCCTCCTTTTCGTTTCCACGAGCCCTGACTGCGTGGACGCGTCGCGTTCGGTTCGGGCGACTCCGTTATCCCTTTTGGTATCCGGAAGGGTTCCATTGATTCCAAAACAGCGGCCTAAGGGAGGGCTCCCTTCGGCACGGTGCTAAAGACTCGCCATGGGCCTTCGGCCTCCCCCGTATCTCGGAGTTCCTCGGACCAGAAAGGGTACCGCATTGGAACGTGGATGCAGCTCCACGATCCGCCACGTTACAAAATATGTATTACTCATGGAACAAGACAGCATTCTCTTGCAATCGTTCGTGAAAGTATTTTCCATGTTTTCCCTTCTGACTCTGCAATGTTCCGTTTTTATAGTATTCTAAATTGTTTGAGGTAGGTCCTGAAACTCATCATTTTCGATTATAAGCCTTCAAAAAACGTAAAACAAAAAACGTGCACGAACTACATCATGTTGGTTCTAGTCCATATAAAAAAAATTAAATGTTCTATAAAAAATTAAATTTCATGAATTTCAGGACCTACCTTAGAGCCTCCATGTTCATGTGGTCAAATTTGAATGGAATCAGTACATCCAATTCGGAGAAAACTTCCACGAAAAATTTGACTTCTCGGATATACAGGGTGTAACAGAACTTGTAGTCACGGTTTATACAGCGCTATCTTTGTTTAAAAAGGAGTAAAAAAGTAATATACTATTTTTTTTGCCTACAGTCCATAAATTTCCTGTAACAACTAAGTGAAGCACAGCCTATCAGTTGCGTTCCCGAGCACAAGGCATAGCTGAGAGGACGTCGGTAGGGCTACGTCCGGCTGTTTGCGGCGTAGCAGCCTTACCGGCGTCCTTTCCGCTATGCCTTCCATTCGGGAACTCGATTGAATGGTTGCGTTTCACTTAGTTATTACAGGAAATTTGTGCACTGTACAAAAAAATAGTGTAGGACTTTTTGACTCCATTTTCAACAAGGATAGCGTTGTACAAACTGTAATTACGAGTTCTGTTACACCCTGTGTATATATAAGCTGACTCTTTCATATCACCTTAAATTAATCAAAGAAACGGATGTGCACTGTGACGCGGTAGATTGGGGTAGCCATCTAGGCGAACCTGGCTGAGGCCCGCAGCGCCTCGGCGTATCCGCGTCACCTTCGCTCGACCGCTCCGGGTCGCGACCGTCCGAGAGACTATCTCCAACCAGGCCAAAATTCCCCCAAAAAACTTCACCAGAACACCCTTCGAGTCCACCAGGAAATCCCTACAACTTGGGCGTCAGGCCTCGCCAGAGGCCAATATTCAAAATTAACTCGAAAGTACTGAAACTCGACACACTAACTCAAAGGAATTCCTCTCGGGCGGTGCGCCACCGTGGCGATCGGCGCCGCGCGGCCAGCTAGCTCGGAGCGCGTGCGTCAACTTCGGAGAGGGCGGGGCACGGCCGCGTCGCGCAGAAATCTCGAAAATTAACTCGAAATGCCCAAAATGAACATTACTAACTCACCACCGAAAATTGGGACAGGGGTTAAGCAAGGTACCCGACTGAAAATAAATTAACTCAAATGCCAAATTGAAAGAGACAAGAGTTTAATTAGACAAATGAATTGAAATGGATTCTAAAACTAGAGGGTCTTATTCTCAAGAGTGTAACATAGGGTGGAGCCGATCGAGAAGCGAGAGAGCCTTAGAGAAAATTACACTACGAAAAATATACAGAAAATAGTCAAGAAAAGTGCAGGATTTAGGAAAAAGGGAATAACAAAATAGATGACTGGGATAGGCTGTCAGAGTCACGAAATTGGAACAACGAACTGAAATCGCCCGCGGCTTGCTTTAATATTTACGCGAAATCATAGGAAATGACTCGGCTCAGAGATATCGAAAATCACTAGGCACATTCGCTCGAAAAAATTAACAGATTTACTCGTTCGTTTTAAGGATTCGCTACATATTCGACCGGCAAAAGCACATATCAGATCGTGTAAATCACAAGTAAAGATCACAATTTCACATAGTGTAACCGGAAAAAAGGTGTAGATAAGTCACAGGAACACTCCAAAGATAAAAAATTTGAACATTTATCGGGAACATCCGAAATAGAAAAATTAACGCAATTCGTTTTACGAGATACAGGCAAATTTTACAGATCGCACGAATATTACTGGAACGTCAAAGCAGGTCGCAAGAAAAATCAGAGACATCGGAAATTAAGACATTTCGTCTCACAATGTTCAGGGAAAAATTATTCTTAGCCAAGTTGATGCCATTATCAGTTGAAAATCATAAATTGGGATTAATATATGACATATTATAACGACGCAAGATAATTAAGTATTAATACCGTGATACGAAAAGGAGGACTTGCCTCGCGCAAATGGAACGCGACTCGGGCGACCACGTGGTCGCCTCCGACCGCAAGGAACACTGCGGACGCGCGACGTACGGACTCGAAATCCAGATCTACACAAATCATCGAACTAAGGCAAAACTCGCGAAATTTTGCAGTTCTCTTCGCACCCAAAAATTCCTAATGCGGACTCTGCGACCGAAAAATTTGCGCGGTTACATGAACATAACGCGAAATTTACTAGAAAGAAGGGAATTCGCAGAATGGGCACTATTCGAACACGCAAAATACTCGGGTTCGGGGTGCCGTCGGCCTTATACGCGAAGCACATGCCGCAGGGATTTTCGCTCTCTTTCGGATTCCTGAATTTTCAAAACTGAAATAGATCCACTAGGAATTTCGTACTAAAAGGACGAAAAGGGTGCTCGCCCGCGCGAATCTCGGATTGACCGCCCACACAATAACCGTTATGATCATCGGCGCGAGACTTATGATCCACTAGTTTTTTATAACAAAGGAGGAAAACACCACCAGGCAATATTAGGTAAGGCACGAAATCGGGTGCGAACCAGAATCGCTTATTAACCCGTGGCATACAAAACTAGAACAAATTCAGAAAAGCAGAGAAACCCGGAGAGAGAGAAATCCAGGGTAAGTCAGGCAATTATGTCGTGCCGAACTCTAAAGGGAAAAACTACCGAATTATAACATCAATACTCAAAATTAGTCTCCCCGAATCGCAAAAAACTGGCACTTACTTCATCGGAGGGCCGTCGTCGCCGCTCACCGACTCTACTGCCGCCTTCTCTTCCTCCGCGGTGGATCTTCGGGCTGAGATCCGGGCACTCGCAAAATTTCAGCAAACTCAGAAAACTCTACGTAGCTCAAGGTACTCTTTGCCTATGCGACAGTTCCAGCGGTCCGAACGCGAAGAACGCTAGAGCTCCTGGTGTACGGTTGGATTAAGGATTTCGAGTGGGCCCCCCTAAAATCCAAATTGTCGCGTGATGATTGGCCGCAGGCGCTCCGCCGTTGTCCGATTTCTGAAAATTGTCGCCTGGGGGTCCGGCGTCCCGGGCGACGGGCACATGTGTCCCGGACCTTTGTGCCCGCTCCCTAATGTCATGACTTGGCCGCGAGCGGGCGTTCCCAGGACGCGGCATCCATCCGCCGTCGTGCCGATCGGGATCAGGGAAAAATTTCAACGCCTCGTCCCTTGGTCCGGCTCCTGCCCGGGTAGTCCTGGTCTTCCCGTGGGCGGCACTCTTTTAGCCGTCAGGACTAACCGAGGGCCCACCCCCGCGGGCAGAGCCGTCAGGGTGGCGAAGACGACCCCGGCCGGTGCCCCTCCGGGCGCCCGTGGAAAGGCCGTGGCCCCTTTCCCCGATGCGTCGTCCCTGCTCCAGCCGCTGGCCGTTGTCTCCATGGCAACTCCTGGAGCAGTGAGCGACTATGTGCTCGCGACTTTTAGGAGGTAGGTGCTGTCTATGTCGCGGACTCGACGCCGCACTAAAACGTGCTAGAACGCTTCTCGAATAATCAATGGAATATTCAACGAATATTCACGCAATATTCGAGATCTCAAGACAAATGCTTTAATGATTTTCCAGACAAAAAGACAAAGGAGCATCCCGAGTGACGCAACTCGGGAGCTCTTATGGGACAGATACCTCAAATGAAAAACATTCAAAGAGATAAGACGGCGATAAATGCGCAGAAAAAAAGTCTAATTAACGCGAATCGGCGGTGCTTCCTTGCGGATCGAAGACCGTCGGATCCAAGCGTCATAGAAGCGCGGCCAAAAGATATATGGAACTTGGAAATCCATGGGACGGGTGGACCGAAATCCACGTCACAGTATGATCAACATATTCCTGATGGAAAGTACATTCTGAAAATAAATGAAAAAGGAGGAATGAATTTCGTACACTCGCAAATGTTTAGATATTATATTAGTATCTACATGTATCAGAATAAGAAAAATTCATTTATCATTAATATAAATTGAATAAAGTAGAAACAAAGAAATCAAAAACGCGTGTCATGTAAGTGTCATTTTCCGTGAAACAACTTACATTGTTATGCATTCTAAACATAATTCGTTTATGATAATTAGTTTCTCCAAATCTGATCAACAATTTTAATTCTGTGATAATGTAATGAGCTACTAGCGTATGCAGTTTGTGACTCAGGGGTTATTTAACCCATTCTTCATGAGTGGAATAGTTTACTATTTCAGGGGTAGTTTCCTCTATGTTAAGAGCATGTAAATACAGCGTATATACGTATCATTGTATTTTTTATACAAATAACGTAAATTGCCCCATAAATGTTAAATACTGCCAGGATTAAAATGTGCTAGGTGTTGGTGACGGACACGATTAGGCGTAGTTTAGAAAAAAAGTTGATTACATTATCGCATAACTGCCTACTCTTACAGATTATTTTCTTACAGACAAGGAAACATTCCCAAGTGTCCGCTTCCGATCTTATTGAGTTTCATATATGTTGAAGAACACAAAAATCTAAGAGACACGTGTTTTTTTATATCTGCAATGGTCCACATTTAAGGGGTGAAACAACCCCCCAAAGTTTAGCGAAAAATCGGTTTTTTAAATATTTTTCGTAGGAGCAGTGGAGGGATTTCGACGAAACTTTGCATAAACGTATTCTGTATAAGGACGGTGGCAACACAATATTGTTTAGCAATGTTGCACCCCCTCAAGGGGGTGAACTACCCTTCAGGTGACAATTTTTTGTAATATCCATTAAACAAGCACTCCTACTTAAGTTCCACTTACGCGATGTGATTGCTCGCAAAAAATTAAGAAATACGTGTTTTTTGCTTTTTGCCAATAAACATTTACACATCGGTTGTAAACAATGAATGTAGGTGGTATTAGGGTATATCCCGACTACCTTTATTGGGTTATATCGTGACCAATTCATCGTACATAAGTCGTGTCAACGTGGTAATTCTTCAAAATGTCATTGATTTTCATCACATGCAATTATTTATAAATAAATTAAAAAATAGTTTCAGAGGCTAAAATTGTTTCGCAACGGATTCGACGATGCAGTCATCACCCGTTTCCAACTAGTAGCACAATCTCCGTGGTGAAACGATAAAATTGGATTTACACTGTTTTTACGAAAAAATAGAGTCTGCGATATTCGATACCTAAGGTACGGGAATAGTACGTTGAATCAAATCAAATTTGGAATCGTCTACGCCGACGTACGTTCTTATAAAGCCTGCACTGGATTCGATGCTGATCAGTTCTGATCAGGACTTCGTCCTTGTGAAATTATTTTGTCGACGTGCTACGATATATTTGTACGTAATGATTATAAATCCTATAAACGTGATCAACCTTTTGTTAGCTACGTTTCATTGTATCATCATATGTATTTAATGGAGACGGAAGTTAATCGACAAGAAATACTGTTAAAAGAATCTATTCAAACGATTCTTTTGGATAGTATATTCCAATTTAATTCGTTTGAGATTACTGATGATTCAACATTGGATTTTCAAGAACCTTTTCAAGCTCGGGAGGTTGAGTATGTTGAAGATGAAGAAGAGTGGACTGACGAAACGGTGCCACAACGTCTTCATCGCTTTGCCAAGACACAGCGGTTAACTTCGACTATAAAAAGAGAGTAGTAGAATTCTGGAGAAGTGGAAAGTCCGGCAATCTCAAATTTGCCACTGTCCAACAACGATTTAGGAAACTTTCTGATGCTCGTGAATTAAGAAGGTGGGCCAACCAAGTGGATGATAGAGGATGTCGAAAAGAAAAATTACTGTATGTCTCTACATCCACGCTGAACAAATTCCGAAACGCTACTGACGCTGGTTTTATAGTACATGACGCAGATATCCAAAAATGGGCTCTAGAAGCATGGGGACAACAGACAAACAACGACATGAGGTTTAAAGCATCGTCAAAATGGTTATATAATTTTAAAAAAGCTCATCGTATTGTGTCACGAAAAATAACGAAATTTATTACAAGGAAGACATTAGAAGACGGCGCCAATTTACAAAAAGTAACTAGTGAATTTCTAGACACTGTAAGACCACTGATAGCGCAGTACGGGGTCGAAAATGTGTATAATTCCGACCAAAGTGGATTTCAGCTAGAAATTCATTCGGGACGGACATTATCATATGAAGAAAAAAACAAAGTGGAAGGTGTTGTCCAATCAATTTCGTCGACAACGCATAGCTACACAATCCAACCAATAATTTCGTGTGATGGACGTTTACTATCACCGCTGTTGGTAGTGTTGAAAGAAGCAAGTAGCCAATTCGGACAGGTCGTGGAAAAAACATTGTTTCGTCCACAAAATATTTTTCCTTTGGCTTCGAAGTCTGGCAAGCTAACTTCAGGTAAAGACGCCTTAAACTTATTCCTTTAATTTATTAACTTGTATACTAGTAATAATTAATGCGATTAAAAAAATTTTAGAGCATTTTAAAACGTGGTTGAAGGATGTCCTCTACCCTAACATTAGTCAACAAAGCGTTCTTCTGCTTGACTCCTGGAGCGGACACTGCAGCGATACAATTGAAAAAACGAAACCTGCCGACAAAAACATTGTGGCAGTGATTATACCAAAGGGAACTACTGGTCGAATCCAACTTTTAGATGTCTATGGTTTTCGAGTATGGAAAAATGTTGTGAGGCGTTTTTCTGATATTGTCCTTTTACATAATTATGACGTTAACCTTCATTTACGGAATAATATCATAAAATTGCAATCACTCGTGCATAATCAGTTGTCTTCTCCTAGACATAAAAGCCTGTTTCAATATGCATGGTATAAAAGTGGTTATATCGATGAAAGATTAGAAAACTTCCCGAACCCGGTTAATTTTGCCTTTGAAAGATGTTCAGTTATGAAATGTAATGTTTGTGGTGCAGCAGCAATGATACGATGTTCTTGGTGCAAAAAAGCATTTTGTATAAAGCACTTTTTTCACGAATACCACTACTGTAATAAATATTGTAGGAGTATTTTTAACGTAGAGTCCCTCGAGTGTTAATATGGGTAATATTCAAAGCTTATTACAACAAAGTATGCGGTAGTTCAACGAAGAGATCGGCGTTGGATGCGACGAGTCTCCAAGAGCTCCGTTTTTCGAATGTGCTGATTCCTCGTCCCTTCGAGCTCTCATCTTCCGTCGCCTCTCAAGGGCTGGGTCATCCTTGCCCTCGCGTTGTTTATATCTTCTCAAGAGCTGCATGGGGTGACGTGGTCCAGAGGGAAAAGGAATGCGCCTTCATTCGGCCTCCCTGACCCGTGTGTCGTCCTCGGCACACTTTATCTCCACCTCTCATGTCCACCTGGAACTATATAAAATTCGCTGGTATTAGCATTGACGTGAGATCCTCGGAACCTGGAACGGTAGTGTTCACAACCCGGAACATGTCCGCAATTTCAGCCATCCTCAAGTCTTGCCCAGCTGGCCCGGACCCCGGTCAACAGCCTTGCTGGACGCCACCTGCAGCACGAGCACCTGACCGGAGGCTCTCTCGGCTAGAAGCGACCCAACTCCACGGCAGTTTGGCGTCGGCCTTGCCGGTGGTCTCTAACCCGTACCTCCTTGCCATCGGACCACGCTCGAGTCCCACCGACTCGCGGCCTTCCCGTGGCTCCGGTCTACGCCGCGAGGCCCCTTGACACTTGGCCCACGCCACAAGGACCAAGCTAGAGCGCCTCGTAGACTTGACCGAACCGTTCTCACATGGCACCAGTCTCCGCCACAGGCCTCGTACCACCCGGTTCGCGCCACCGGCACCGAGCTAGAGCACCTCGTGACTTGACCAACAACGGTTTTCTCAAGGCACCGGCCTACGCCATGGGTCCCGTACCACCCGGTCTGCGCCTCCAGACCCGAGCTAGAGACCCCATGACTCGGCCAACGACGACCCCAGCCTGTGACGTCGCTCGTGTCATTCTTGCCGCCTCGAGACCTCCAGCAGCGCTGCATCCGGCCACGTGGTAGTTCAATTACCGATGGTCCTTCGGAATTTTACTCCAGCGCACTCATCGGTCTCGTACGGTCCATTACGGTCGAACCTTGGCTCCACCTCGGTCGACCTCGACTCCGACCCCGACCGTGTTTTCCTTCCTCAACCTATAGAGGAGAAAGATTAGGCTCGGGTGACAAGAATCTTACCTTGCTCTACTCAAGAGCGTCAAATGTGATCCATCGACGTAAACTGTCGACCGCAACGACACTCTTCTGCCCCTTGGCTTTTCGCAGTTGCCGCAGGTCTTCGACCTCGTACCGGTCGTTGGGAAGTACAGCCGTGACCTTAAATGGCCCCTTAGCCTTGGCCACCAACTTCCGACTCTGTCCCGTCGCCGCTGGGTTGGCAGCCACCATTACTACGTTTCCTACGTCGTAGCGCGGCGCCTTACATCTCTTGGCGTCGAACTGCGCCTTCTGCCGAACCTGCTCGGCATCCGTGGCTCGTTTAGCTTCCTTGCGAAGCTCTCGGAGGTCCACCTGGTCCAGGGACGCCTGAATTCCGGCGATCAGCGCCGAATCCGCTGCACTACGAGGCTTGAACCCATACAGTAATTGTACCGGACTCTTTTGAGTCGTACGATTAGTAGCGTTATTAATCGCACTTTGGACCTGCTTGACATACTGGTCCCATTTGTCCTCCGGCGACCCTGCACTAGTAGCGGCGAGCGAATTCAAAAGAGTCCGATTTACTCGCTCACATTGTCCATTTGCCCTGGGTGTTACCACGGCGTTTAGAATATGTTTTGTCCTGAGCTTTCGCACGAATGCTGCGAAGCGATGGGACGTGAAGGCAGTTCCTCGATCACTTATGATTCGGGATGGAACTCCAAATATGGCGAACAATTGATCAAGTGCTTTGATCACCCATTTCGTCTTTGTATCTCGGACAGGCTCGAGAACCCAAAATTTTGTAAACCCGTTCACAATGACTAAGATTTGCGTGTTCTTCCGTTTGCTCCGAACAAATGACCCCACGTGGTCTAAATGCAGGGTATGGAACGGGACGGAGACCTTCTCAATGGGGTGCAAGAGTCCTGGCTTTCGTCCCGAGGTTGACTTATAGTACAAACAATTCAGGCAAGCTCGAACATACTTGGAGACGAACCGACGCATTTCGGAGAACCAGTAATTTTCCCTAACCTTTTCTAAAGTCCTTTCAAGTGCGAAGTGGCCCTGATCATCGTGGCACATCTTAACGACGTTAAAACGTGCCATCCGTGGAACCACCCACTTGTTTCCTGATTCGGTTTTTCGAAAAACTACTCCGCCCTTAAGGTCATAATTTTCAAAATATTGCTTCGTATCGGGTTGAATTCCTCCGGCTTCCAAGATCCGTCGTATCACCATGATACGCGGATCTTGTTCCTGTACGGTCTTTATCCATTCTCCCTCGGTAATATCTATAAGCAAGCAATCTACGGGATTTCGGCTAAGGTAGTCCACGTGAGTCGATTGCGCGCCTGGACGGTACACGACGTCAAATTCGTAATCTTGCATGTACGCCCACCATCGCGCTACTCTAGGATGAATGTCTTTCTTTTCGGCAGTCGCTCTTACCGCACTGCAATCGGTAACTACGGCGAATTTAATCCCCAAGAGATAAACTCGAAAGACTTTTAATGCGGTTACTACTGCAAGTGTTTCTAAATCAAACGAGTGATATTTCTGTTCGTCTACCGTCGTTTTCCGACTATAATAAGAGATGACCTGTTTTTCCTTGCCCCTTTTCTGAATTAGGATAGCCCCTAGTCCGATCGCGCTCGCGTCCGTGTGAACCTCCGTTTCAAGTGCCGGGTCGTAAATAGCTAAGACCGGCCTGTCACAGAGCGTCTGTTTGATTTCATCGACCGCCGCGCGATGCTCTGGTCCCCATATCCAACGAGTGTCTTTACGTAATAAATTTGTCAGTGGAGCCACTTTTCGAGCAAAATTTGGGACGAACTTTCTAAAGTACCCTGCCAGGCCTAGGAATTGTCGCACCTCCTTGACGCGGGTCGGGTACGGTGCCCTTTTTATGGCGTCAACTTCGTTTGTCCCCGGGCGCACCCCGTCGGCCGACATTTCTCGACCTAAACAATCAGTCTTCCTTTGGAAAAAACTACATTTAGCGAGATTGAGGGTGAAACCGTGCCTCTTGAGGACCTGAAGAATTATTTCTAAATTTCTAAATCCCTCCTCGAGATCGTTAGACGGAATCAAAATATCGTCTATGTAAACGACCGCAGTCGTAAACCTCAAGTCCCCTAGGGCAGTATTTATGGCCCTTTGGAAAACGGACGGCGCGTTAGCTAACCCAAACGGCATGCGTAGGAATTCGTACTGGCCGTCGGGGGTGATAAATGCGGTCGCTTCGACGGAACTGGAATGCATCGGAATTTGATAGAATCCCGACGTGAAATCGAGGGAGGTGAAATTAGATTTGCCACCCAGGCGGTCTATTTGATCATCAATTAATGGGAGAGGATATTTATCGCGCTTAGTAATTTTGTTAAGGGCCCGGTAATCCACGCACATGCGCGCCTCACCATTTTTCTTTCGGACCAGCAACACCGGGCTCGCGTATGGCGAGCGGCTCTCCCGAACAATGTCATTGGCCCCTAATTCCGAAACAAGTCTTTTGACCGTTTCGCGTTCGGACAGCGACATTCTATACGGTCGATGGTAAACCGGCTCATCGCTAAGGAGGTCGATTTTAATCTCCGTAACGTTCGTTTTCCCGATTTCATCGATTTTCATTGATACGCATATTCCATATTTATTAAGAAGCTCGATCAGTCAACGCTCGCTCCCCGAATCTAGCCCCGGACAGTACACGTCCCTTGCCGCGATTGTCCTGACGGACTTCGATTCGACTAAATGGACATTCAGTGGCTCTGGTTGGACGATTAACATTAACCCTGATGCCTCCGCGATAGCTTTCACCCCTGGGTAAGTCAGAATATCGCGACCTACTAGAATGTCCCGCGTAAGTTGCTCGTCGCGAACTACGTAGAATTCGTTGTCGAAGTCAATACCGTCGATCGTCAGTCCTGCCCTGGCGCGGGCAATAGGCCTGACCGTCGCGTAATTAAAACCCGAAAGGGTTTCGCGTGCCGCTGTTAGATCAAGCTTTAAGGTTCTCGCTCTGCCCTCTCTAACAATCGAGCAATCACTCCCCAGATCGACGATGCATTCGGCTTGCACCCCGTTTACGATACAGGTCTTAATCGGTTTTCGGACTTCTACTTTCTCCGACGGTGGGACTGCAGGGTGCTGGGTGACTAGTCAAATAGCCCTATCGCGTTCTTTCTCGTTTCGTTTTTGGAAACAACGCTCTTCGGTATGCCCTTTCTTATGGCAAAATCCGCAGGTCGGTGGGCCGTTCGCGTTCCCTTGGGTTTCTCGTTCCTTAACTACGGCTTCGCGCTCCTTAACTTCCGGACAGTTTGCCTTAAAATGTCCAGGCTTACCGCATCCATGACACGTCGCCACTTTTCCGCGCGAATCTCTAACTCTCTCGATCTTCGCGTCTTGCGTGACTACGCGCTTTGCACCCTTACCTACCGAATTTTGCGCGGTGAAAACACTGAGGCATCAATTCAGGTCCGCAATAGTTTTATGGCGCGCCGCTATGACGGTAGTACGAATGCCCTCATCATGGATTCCATGCGCTACATACGAAACAAGTTTATTTTCCGTTAAGTCAAGTCGTAATTTGGTTAGTTTTCCCACCTTCGTGAAGCATTACGTTTGAAGGTCCTGACCGGGCGTGCTCTTGTATTCTACAGCTTCTGCGAGAAGCGTCCCAAAATCTATGTCTCCCGGAAACTGCCTGGTTAATGCGGCCGCGAATGCCGTCCAAAAAAGCTGCGACCCCGCGATCACCTGATCGTATCACCCCCTTGCGTTACCCCG